CGAAGTGTCGATTATTTGTGGACGTATACGGGTGCGATCAGTAGCTGAAAAAGTATTTGGTAGAAGAGCCCCTATGGATGCAGTCTTCGTCTCATTTGCATGTGTGGGTGCGTCTAAACTAAGCAGTCGTTGGCTCGCGTACGAACATAGTTCGTGCTTTCTGCTCGGTAAGAGGTAAAAGTCATCTATGTCTATTATAAACAAACCCATGCGGAGGCTGAGGAGGTTTTACTATGTGCCAGAAAGAAGTTTTTCCTATCAGTTTTATAAAACGACCTAATAAATGTGCTTGTTGCATTTTCAGTCTAAAACCAATAAAATTTGTTCTGAAATAAATGATTCACTCCTCATTTACAAAAACTTATCAATCAGTGATAATTGTAAACTTTTTCTTTGCATTTATCTCATCTATGTCTGGCGTTACTGTGACATCACCGCTATTTGATACTATGATAAAGCTAATCTAAAGTCAATATATTTCACTTTTTTCCCTGAATGGCAAGACACTGATGACGCCATCCGGAAGCCTCACCATTCATTGCTCTCCAACTCATCAAATCAACCAATACAAAGCTTGTTTGGAGGTTATTCCATCAAAGCTGTTTTTTATCGGGTGTATCTCGAGTGGCGCGATTTCGAGTTGTCACTTAGCACATCTGCGTCGGGCTTCATATCTTCTGGAGTTTTCAAATTGTAATCGTGTACTACCTTCCATATTAGAGAATGTATAAGTTGTTTACTTTGGTTCAATTCATAACATGAGAGAACCATTCAAAGATTAGAAGCTGCAAATTAGGATATTGTAAAGAGATCGGTCTGAGAGTTTATGTCTGGCAAAATGCAAAAGCGTATGAAAATAGCTTTGCGTTACTTGCATGTATAATTAGTGACAGCCAGGAGATCGCGCCACTCGAGCGCTTCCCTGTTTGCAGCGCAGATGCCTTTTTCGTGTAACTACGGTAACCTGTTACTCGCTGGTGTACTTATCCTAAGTAGAGATGATGGAATATGAAATTAGAGTACTAGGCTGCATAAACGGCTATCCTCGGTTAGTCAAAAATTCAAGGCTAGGTTTTTTGAA